AGCCCTACCCGAAGACACTGTTCCGCCCTACTTGCTCGAGATGCGAGCTATCGCAGCCTCGGATAGTGCTCTCTGGTTAGCAGCTCCCTCCATGCACCTGAAGACAGACGATACCCCACGAGAGGGCCGGTGCGTCAACTTTTCGTCTACTACTTTCCAGCTGTGTAGGCACTCGCCTTCTACAGCTGATTTTCAGTGGAGCAAAAGGCGAATGCGTCTCTAGTTTATGATACTAATTAATAAATTAGTTATCTTTCTAGCCTTGCTTAAGACAAAGACCTGTTCATTTTTGCACGTATCCTCCGAATGCTCTCCTCAGCTGCCGGTGTTTCCTACGTTTTTTTAGCTGATATTATAATACAGCGACTCTTTAAAACAGTCAAGCAATTTGCTGATCGCATTCTTGGTGAGGTCGCTTATCTTCACCCCGAACTAATGGCTACGAAGTCTTCCCGTAGTATGCGCCGAAGTTTCCGACACATGTCTTGTCGTACATCGGCATATCAGCACTCTATACCCCCGTTCCTAGAACGTTACCTCACGTGTGAAGAAAGGGAAGTTGAGAAGTTGAAATCAGACCTGTCTCCATGGCAGATGTGGATTACATGTAAACCTTTAGATTTTGAGTATTTTATTACCTTTTCCTTTGGTCTCAGTGAATGGAGTCATTTTTTGCTGGACATTTTCGACATTTACCTTCAAAATAAAGCCAATTTCTCCTTCAAAATACGCTTTGGGATAAAATAAGCTGGCAGCGGATAGCGGTAGTGTGGGCGGCGTTGATATTATATGCCGCTCAGTCATGGCTAGCTCAATTTGCTGACGCTCTGTTCAGGCAAGTAACAAAGTGGAACTTGCTATTTGACCAAACCGTCTCGCTTTCATAGTTTTCTTTTTGTTCTTGTAACGACCAAAGAAACAACTAACTATAAATTTAAACTATCTTTGAGTATGATATGTTCAGATTTGAATGCTGCCGATGTTCGAAAAAAATTATCGAAGCATATTATGCAGTTGTCTAAGGTGCATAATAAAGTCTAAAATGCAGTTTTTACTGGAACTGCTTCTGCGGTCAATTACATTCCGCAACGATTACTGAGGTCTATTCTTCAGCGATTTTTAGGTGTGCTGTAACTTTTTATGGGCTTATATAGGTGCAATATACTGAGCCAAAGGCAAGCACTAGCCTCTTTTTTATTTCCGTCGCTTTTTAAGTTAAGTTTGTACGGTTTCCTGAATTGTGTCGGCATGCCAGTAAGAACTTTGCGTCCTAACCGTTATAATTAACCCCCCATGCCATATCGCAACTTCTTTATCGGGTTTCTTGAAAAGCTGTCGTGCCCTTAAGGAAATATTAAAATTTAAAGTACGACCAGCATTTTGTTAGGTTATATAAACATGGGCATTTGCTTATGTAGGAGAAGTGGTTGAAAAACTTGTTTGCTTTGATTTGGCAACTGTGGCTTAAGGTAAACGGTCAACTACAGAAAATCAAAACGAAAACTTTCTCATTTGATAGTAGATTATGTAAAAGTAATTAGAGCTACGCAACAATACAGCAAGTTGGAAAAATGGGTTGTAGTACAAAAGCTGAAATCAAATCCAACCCGAAATTACATGGATCACTAATAGACAGAAATGGTCTACTGTCTCCAGTGTGTGCTAGTATCATCAATGCCAACACCTGTTGACCTCGTATTCAAACGGTGCTAACACGGCAAACCTCGTTTGCGCATCCTTGAATGTTCACCCATTCTCTGCGCTCAAAATGCTTTGATGTTGCAAATGTGTGACAAAGTAGAACAGGCGAAGTCTGAGCACAGCAGTGCGGTCTTACTTTATCCGTCTCGTGCATTAAAAAGCACTAGCAAATGCTCATTGCAACGTCTTCATGACAGCCAAGGAAGTACTTGGACTCGTCTTGCGGCACCACAGCAACTGGGTATGCTCGCGGACCTTACAGTTGTCTGCCCAGATCGCTCAAGCTAAATCGCACAAGGACGATTTCTACCATGATTTACAGAAAATAACAGCACACTTTTCTGTAGATGATCGCACTAAAATAGCGTCCTCCACGAAGCATTTAAATTTATTGCTTGTACTGTCTTGTTATGTTATGAACCCCTTAAACAAACATTGTTGTGGTGAAGAGGACCATCGTTATACAAAAGGGCCAACTGATACAGGAAAAGGAGACTCAGGCTTCTTTTGTTAACTTATTAGCGTTTTCGGCTCGTCTTATCCAGCCCAAGATTCTAGAGTACCTGGGTTAAATGCCCCGATCCCGATCTGTAGGACAACAAACGCTAGGCTCACTAACGCCGACTACCAAAGAACGCAGGTTGAATCTCAGTTTCCGTGGACCTGGGAGTTGGGTAATCCTAGCAGATGACGGCAAATGGGCCAGAAATGACCATACCGGTCTTCCTTGTTTTCTTTTTCAGTACTACCTAATCTGTATATACTACTGTTCTCAGCGTGGCTGCAAGGCATAACAGAATGAGCATGTTAGGCAATTTTGTCGCTACTAGTTCTTCTATCATGCACATTACTGCAGTTATTTTTGACGCAGCCTTTTCATACTTTAGGTGGCTAGCCCCTGCATCTCAGACGAAGACAAGTGATGCTGTGAGTGAAGTCCCGACTGAGGATTTGGATGAGGAGGCTGATGTCGAGGAGGAAGAAGAGGAGGAGGAGCCAGGGAATCCAGAATATTTTACCGCTGCCACCAGAAAGGCCAAGTTGGCTCATATCCTCTCCGAAGAGATGAGCCCTGAAGCTATGCTTGAACTGATTCCGGCCTATCCTCACCGCCACTCAGCTTTATCCAGATGGCTGAAACCGAAATCCGAGGCGCCTTAAGACAACCGTCCTTGGCAGACCCTCTCATAACACAGGAATAATTTCTTTACCTCTTCGCTCAGGCATCAATAAAATTTAGTAACCCTAGAAACATTTCCATCTTAGTGGCTGTTGGCTTTTACCCCTGTACCTTTTAGCTGTTTGATTTCTATCCATGTCATCTCATCAAATTGCTTCATTAAAAAATGATTTGACTTCCAACGCCCAATATCTCTTGGTCTTCTTTTGGGACAGTCTTGTAAATCAGCGTTCCCTGTGCTCGTTTGTTCAGTGTGTCCGAGTTATCTCATTTCGGGAATGGCTTAGTAGTTGGGGCCTAGTTAGTAGAAAATGCTACCGATCTGTGGCACTTAGACTCGTTGGGATAACTCTCTAAGTTGAAGTCCGCGCACACCAACTGCGGTGTAGCTTCTGACACGAACTGACGATCAAGTTCGTTTCCACTTCTACGGTACTGAGTAGGATGCCTGCAGTCCAAGTCATGCGAGTGACGGCATTCTCTTTATTATACTTGTTAGTTTGAACATTATTTTCCAAACCGTTGTTTTAGTGAGCTGTTAAATTAGATGTTTGCAAATGCACATTCTAGTGAATTCTGTTGGTGCCTGTCGCCAAGTCGAGCTATCCGCGCTATCTGGATGACTACGCCAGGCGTAGATACTATTGTATTAAAACGCGCGGAAAACTGGTCTTCTACAAGGAAATGCAAAAATCATGCAATCACCCTTTTGATCAAGCGTGCATTTTTCGGCCGAGTATGAGGTTAGCTGTCTTCCTAATTGAACCTGCTCTTTAAACTTTCATTGGGCCTAGAAACCAGAGCTAAAGTGCGGGCCATTGGTGTAGGTTGTGATGGGTCTGCAGCGTACATCTGGCGATATGGGCTTCCGACTTACCAAAATTATTCTGGGAACGGTGACTTCGATCCTCAGCGCTACTTTTGGATGGAGACTGGAGCCCAACATCTGGAAATTCGTCATATTTCTATTGGGTGAAACGTTTTGAACGTGTCGTCAAACGTCTGCTTTTATTGCCAGTGGGGATATTGAGCTTTTGTAGAAAACGTCTCCGCTGTCCAACAGAATCCGAGACTGGACATGGGTCTTCGCCGTCCCGTGTGTCTATCAGTAAGTTTTTAATATTTATGTTCCTGATCAGGTTTACGCCAGTCATTTAACGCGTGATTGATACGTACACGAAGCACATTTCGCCATCCAAGTGCCTTAGCGATTCACTATTTAAGCCTATAGTTATATTGAAGCACAATAGTTCTCTTTCTTCTTCGAAACAAGGAACCCCAAATGTGGCATTTCTTGCGTTGCCAATGGTGAAGAGGACCAAAATCGTACTCAGAGTTGGAGTTAAAATCAATGTGTGAGTTCTACTTTCAGCAACTTCTACTTGCTGTCTGTCGCATGATAGTCAATGCGTCAAGCTTCCTTTAGTGCAAGAACTTCTCATCGATCGTACCTGTAGCCTTTTTACTTGGTAGAATTTTGTTTACTAACGACTCACCTATTGACATCGGGGAGACGAAAGTGCCTGTTAATGTGGACGGCACTTTGCTAACCGTCTAACGTAGAGAGCCCTGTGACTGCCACTAATGTTTACCCGTCTAACTCCAGGCCACAGTCAGGGTGAGAGTTTCAAGGCCGCCAGGACCTCAGACTTCCTGCTAGAATCAAGGCCCGTCTCAAAAATGGCAAAACAAAAACTATAAAGCGAAACTGGTCGGACTAGACGCATGGCAGTTAAGGATGTACGTTTTTTTCACAAGACGGAAGCGGGTGTTCTATTTAACAGGATATTTTAGACTGAAC